TGATTTCCTTTAGGATGGACTGCTTGGATCTCCTTGCAGTCCAGGGGACACAAGAGTCTTCAACACCACAGTTCAAAAGCATCAATTCTTTGGTGCTCAGCTTTCTTTATAGTCCAACTCTCATATCTATACATGACTACTGGAAAAACCATAGCTTTGACTAAACAGACCTTTGTTGGCAAAGTAATGTCTCTGCTTTTTAATATGCTCTCTAAGTTTGTCATAGCTTTTCTTCCAAGGAGCAGGGGTCTTCTAATTTCATGGCTGCATTCACCATCTGCAGTGATTTCAGAGCCCAAGAAAATAAAGTTTGCTACTGTTTCCATTGCTTGCCCATCTATTTGCCATGAAGTGATGGGACTGGATGCCATGATCTTCGTGTTTTGAATGCTGAGATGTAAGCCAGCCTTTTCACTTGTTAGACTGTTCTTTTTCCATGATTATCTGCCATTTTTTCTTCAGAATCTTTCCTGCTTTGTAAAAGAGTCTTCATGAATTTCATCCTATTAGACAGTGTCTATCATAAAATTATTAGTTTTTCTTAAACCCAGACATAATCTATAAATTGATGTTTATATAAAGAAATCAATTGAAAATCTTTGAAATTATCATTTATTCTTCTTCCATCAACACAACAGAAATTTTTGAGTGCCTACAGTGTTATATGCCTAGAACTGGAAAAGCAGTGAAAAACTGTCTTCTTTTATTGACTTTTTGTTGGTATAGATAATGTTAAAGTCTTGATTTGTCAGAGAGACTGTAGTACCTTTGTATATTTCTTATCCTGAAGACTTTTCATAGGGGAGAATTAGAAATTGTCTAAAGTTTATTCATCTCAATGAGATTCTGAAAATTGGCCTGTGAGGAAGGGCATCACCACCTGCTGCTATCTCTAGCAAATGAGAAGATGCAGAAGTACTATTCATTGCTTTTAGATCTTGATCATTCTCAAAAGTGTGAGAATTTTAGGAGTATGTGAATAGTTTCCCCAAAGTTTACAGATTCATTATTTTGTACTTATTAGCCTCACCATATTTCTAGTAATATTAGAATATTCCCCATTATGCCTGTCAAACAAAACCTTGCAATTTACAGAGCAGTCATTAAGTTTTACAATAATGTTGGCTAGAAGTTGTTTTTAAAATTCTGACAAGCAAATTATATTTCAGCTGGGTATGAGGATTAGTAAGCAGCTAGTTCAACTGTGTATGGAGACAGGTAACATACATTTTACTCACCATAAACCTTAACTTAAGGTTAACAGCATAAACCTTACCAATAGAAATATGGTGGTTTACTTGCCAAGTCATGTCCAACCCTTGCTACCCCATGGACTGTAGCCTGCCAAGGCTCCTCTGTCCATGGAGTTCTCCAGGCAAGAGTACTGGAGTGGGAAGCAATTTCCTTCTCCAGGGGGTCTTCCCGACCCAGGAATTCTCTCCAGGATTCTTCCAGATCCAGGATTCAGGATTCTTCCAGACCCAGGAGTTGAACCTGGGTCTCCTTCACTGAAGGCAAATTCTTTACTAACTGAGCTATGAGGGAAGCCCAATAAGAAGTGTCAGTTCAGTTCAATTTAGTTCAGTTGTTTAGTCGTGTCTGATTCTTTGCGACCCCATGAATCGCAGCACGCCAGGCCTCCCTGTCCATCACCAACTCCCAGAGTCTACTCAAACTCATGTCCATCGAGTTGGTGATGCCATCCTACCATCTCATCCTCTGTCGTCCCCTTCTCCTCCTGCCCCCAACCCCTCCCAGCATCAGGGTCTTTTCCAATGAGTCAACTCTTCGCATGAGGTGGCCAAAGTATTGGAGTTGCAGCTTCAGCATCAGTCCTTCCAATGAACACCCAGGACTGATCTCCTTTAGGATGGACTGGTTGGATCTCCTTGCAGTCTAAGGGACTCTCAAGAGTCTTCTCCAACACCACAGTTCAAAAGTATCAATTCTTTGACACTCAGCTTTCTTCACAGTCCAGCTCTCACATCCATACATGACCACTGGAAAAAAAAAATAGACTTGACTAGATGGACCTTTGTTGGCAAAGTAATGTCTCTGCTTTTTAATATGCTATCTAGGTTGGTCATAACTTTCCTTCCAAGGAGCAAGCGTCTTTTAATTTCATGGCTGCAGTCACCATCTGCAGTGATTTTGGAGCCCCAAAAAAATAAAGTCTGACACTGTTTCCACTATTTCCCATGAAGTGATGGGACCAGATGCCATGATCATAGTTTCCTGAATGTTGAGCTTTAAGTCAACTTTTTCACTCTCCTCTTTCATTTTCATCAAGAGGCTTTTAGTTCCTCTTTGCTTTCTGCCATAAGGGTGGTATCATCTGCATATCTGAGGTTGTTGATATTTTTCCCGGCAATCTTGATTCCAGCTTGTGCTTCTTCTAGCCCAGCATTTCTCATGATATACTCTGCATATAAGTTAAATAAGTAGGGTGACAATATACAACCTTGACGTACTCCTTTTCCTATTTGGAACCAGTCTGTTGTTCCACGTCCAGTTCTAACTGTTGCTTCCTGACCTCCATATAGATTTCTCAAGAGGCAGGTCAGGTGGTCTGGTATTCCCATCTCTTGAAGAATTTTCCACAGTTCATTGTGATACACACAGTCAAAGGCTTTGGCATCGTCAATAAAGCAGAAATATATGTTTTTCTGGAACTCTCTTCCTTTTTCAATGATCCAGCGGATGCTGGCAATTTGATCTCTGGTTCCTCTGTCTTTTCTAAAACCAGCTTGAACATCTACAAGTTCATGGTTCACGTGTTGCTGAAGCCTGGCTTGGAGAATTTTGAGCATTACTTTACTAGCGTGTGAGATGAGTGCAATTGTGCGGTAGTTTGAACATACTTTGAGATTGGAATGAAAATTGACCTTCGCCAGTCCTGTGGCCACTGCTGAGTTTTCCAAATTTGCTGGCATATTGAGTGCAGCACTTTCATAGCATCATCTTAAGAGGATTAAATTTTGCTATCTCAAAATAGTGGTAATTAATTCAAGTAAATAAAGGTAGCCAATGGACCATAGTTTAAAAAGAATAAGTTGAAAATTCTTGAGCAAATTTCAAATTGAAATGATAAAAGGCACTCATTCAAAGTATTCAACTAGTGAGAGTGAACAAAGAAGAAAGTGTGACAAATGTTCAAAGTCAACTATACAGGGGTGGTGGTCAATAGTATTGAAAGCTACTTAGAAACATATATCAGATTATTAGTGTCTACTGTATTTGAACCAGATAATATTTTAAATTTGTTTCACTAATTCTTGTCAGGCTACCTGCCATCTTTTATGCAATTTAAAGATTCAGTGATCTTTAAATTATTGGTAAATTCTGCCTTAAAGAGAGCTTTTATGAAGGACATGTAATTCGTATCATCTAGAGTTACTGTCATTTCTAGGCTAAGTCCCATGGAAATTCATAACTTAAAAATGAAAGTCACAAAGATGCAACTGCCTTCATAATGCCAATGCAGTGGTTATAAATATTTCATGAACATTGCATGGGCAGGGGCAGATCTCCATTTTCATGAGTTAGAATTTGTATGGTTAAGTCTCTAGATTTTACTATTCATAATGCACAGTATGCCCTGTAGAGCATTCTATATAGTGCTTTTTTAATATTTATATTTAATGAAGAAATTACTATTCTGAAAAGAGAACAAGCCAAGTCAAAGATTTCTTGTTAAAATTATTAGTTTGCTGAATAGAGACAATAACAGTCAACAGAAATTACCTCATTGCAGTGTCTTAGCACATACATAACTTTTAGAGTAATACAAGATGACTGATCAAGATACATTAAACCTAAGTGAAAAGGTTCTTTCTAAAGGTTAAAACATTAGAAATCTCATCTTAAAAGAATTTGAAAGGTTAAAATGCAAAGAGCAACTTTCTTACATATAAAAATATTAATTACAAATGAAATACTTGCCTCGTGTTCTATGGTTTAAATATGTGTCTGTATTTTTCTGGGTGGATCTTTAATTTAAAAAAAAATAAAGCATTTTAACTTCCTAGGATAATATTACCAAGTTCAATAACGAATTGCTGTTGCATATTTTAATGTAATTTATCAAAGCACATTATCATTACCTGTCAGAATAAATTTTGCACTAAAAGTAATGAAAAGAAGGACTATTGTATGTGTTGAAATCAAGGAACATTACTATTGCTAAGTTATTTTCCATGGAAAAGAAGGTGATTGCCCTCTAAATGATACTTGTCCCATGAGAAACTAGAAGCCTGAAAAATCACAAGAAAAAAGGCTCAGGAAAACGTCTATGCCTTGCTTTTAAAAATGAGTGTTTGATATTTTGTTTCATTTTTGTCATTTTGATCAATTCTTTCAAGTAGATGAATGTTGAAAAGTACTGCACAGATCTTAGTAACATTTACAAAAGTAAGCTAAAGTTACTGATCAGCTCCTGTATAACCTAAGGCTGAATTATCCCATATTAGCATATACTATATATCATAATTAGATTGACTAGGAAGTCACATATTTTCTTTTGAATATACTTCAACAAGACTAAGTCTTTTAATAATGAAAACAATAAGCTTCAGATTTCATATCATTCACCTGGGAATCAGCTATTCAAATATTTTTATAGGCTTAAACCAATGAGGTCGTTAGAAATTCTGTGATGTTTCTCAAACTTACCTCCCCAGAAGTCTATGCTTTATTTCTGATATTATTTAACTGCAAGTGGGAAACACTCTCCATTTGGTTCTTTGTAATTTTATTTTCCAAAGGCTCCCTTGAGGAACTTAACCTTTATGTGATGAATTTGCAGTTCACTGAAAGTGTGTTAACCTTCATTCCCTAATGAGCCTAGGTGTAATACTGAGGAAGAATTTGAGAAATTTATCATGTAACTCATTGTCAGGTTGGATTTGTCTCACACATCTCCCGCTTTGCTGTTGTTCCAGTACACATTTTGATCACAATTCTTTAATTATTTTCTATATTTAACTGACCTATTTGAACAGGATCCAGAGCTGGTGCGGAACATCTGTCGCTGGGTTAGGCAAGCTGTTCGGATTCCTTTTTTTGCCAAGTTGACCCCAAATGTCACTGATATTGTAAGCATAGCTAGAGCTGCAAAGGAAGGTAAGAATCCAACTCACGTCAGTTGCCTCGTTATGTATTCTGGGCCTAAATTTCGTAGCCGTGATAAAATGTATCTCATCTACCACTTTATGTGTACATCTCTGTTTAAACTTTAAGGAAGTTGTTGAATTGAGCGCTTGATCTCACAAATGTAGTAGATCCATACCTATACTCAACCTAGTGGATGGACTTCAAACTTTGGCCCAGGAATACAAGTATATCTATCATTTTTCCTAATAAGCACCTGCTTTATACACAAAGAATTAGGAAACAAAGCCACAGTCACAGCAGAGCACTGCAAAATCAATGACCTCATAATGTAACAGTCCAGCAACAGCACTTGAACTTTTAATGAAATTTTTTAAAAAGATAGCTGCTTCCGCAGGTGAAATTTCTTACCAGTTCCCTTTGTATTTGATCGAAGCTAGAACACTGCCTTAAACATATGCTCAATAAATATCTTGAATACATCAATCGTACAATCAGTGCATAGTTTCACAAATCATATATGCTTGCATGCTATCCAATGGAAATTGCATCCTGATTTGTAAAGATATTGTAAATTACCTGGAAAATAACACTGAGTACAAAACATAAATGTGTATAATAATTGGAAAGATAAAGTGGTGATAATTAAAAATTCTTATGTCTAGGATTTTAAGCATAATTATGGGCATGGGATTAGTGAATACATTTGAGGAGAGGAAATGCTCTCAGGAGAAAGTAGTGTGTGCATTTTCCTGGATTGTGTGGGTTTGAATGGGTTTTAACCATTGTCCCTTTAAGAGCTGCGGATGAATGCTATGTTTTTCATAGGTGGGGCAGATGGTGTTACAGCCACCAACACTGTCTCGGGTCTCATGGGATTAAAAGCTGATGGCACACCCTGGCCAGCAGTGGGCACCGGGAAGCGGACTACATACGGAGGAGTGTCCGGTAGGTGTTACCCTCTCCCCCCATTTCTGCTTCCATGAGGATTGGTGAAAACTCAAGAGATCATGTTACCAGCAAGAATACTGTGTATTTTTTGATCCCCAATTTTTATAACTCACTGCTTGTCAAAATTCCTAATAGTTATGACAGATGGAACAGATCCATCAAGTGGCTAGTGGCACAAGAGAGAATACCAAGATAGGGCTTCACACACACCCTGTTCTCTTGTGGTCTGTGCATTACTCAGGATTGCTCATTGTCACAACTGTCTCATTACTAATTAGTAAAAAGCTAATACCAAGGCCTTATGAGAAGAATATAAGCACAGTGATTTTAATACCTTTTTCCATAGTCTGGGTTAGTTTCCACTCTTCCTAGAAGTTTGAAATCTTCATTCTTCAGAAATAAATCATTAAAGCGTTCCATTTATAGCTTCAGCTGACAAGATATTTGCAGACCTTATACCTTCACGCACATTTTCTCATCATAAAACACTTGCATTTGAAACAGAAAGAGAAGTTTTAATCCCAAAGTCCCGTTCAGTGTCTTTGCTCTGTGCAGTCTGTTGCTGTGACAACATGAACTTGGTCATGCAAAGACGATGCTGTGAGGTTCTTGACTGTCCTGGTATGGGGATTAGTCTCCCTGGTGATAGAGACAGTGGTAAATATACATAACATAGCAGTGTCCCACTGTTCAAGAAAAGCATTGCTGAATCAGACCAAAATGTGCTTTTGGAAGAGGCTGCATAGACACAAATAAAGCTCTCTGCATGCTGAGGTATTATGTTTTGAGAGCGTGAAGTGTGGCTATAAGCCATGATTTTTTTTTTTTAAGAGTATATTCTGCTTTTAATTGAACGCCATTCCCACAATGTCAGAAAGCAGAAGGCTGACGAGGAGCCCCTGTTCAGAACTCCCTTTTATCAGGAGCTATCAAACAGGGCCTTAAATATTATTGTAATGCAGAATAACGTGGAGCGAGTTAGCCAGTGTCTCAGAAAGAGAGTTGTGAGATCCCGGAGTTGGGCTGTGACGTGCACTGTTTTCTGTCAGAGCCCATTTCAATTTCTCCAGCCTGCCATGTTGACAGCGAGAGATGAAGGAGGTCACCGAGGGTGCGGAACATTAAAAATTAATAAGAGAACGATTGCAGTAGTATTTTATATAAGTAACACCATTCACGTTTTCTCATTTGAGGTGCAGTTTCTGAATATTCTCCCATAATATAACTCAGTCTAATAAAATGATGGAATTACAGCATTAGAAAAAGTCTTTTGTGTTGCAGTCTTTTAAGCATACATACACTAGGAATTATAGTGGTACCTGCAAACAAGTTCAGCTATACCTCAGGGCCTGTTAACATTTCCATAAAACTCTCTTTCTGAGATTTATAAATTCATGTATAAATATTCACTTGGGCTATAAACTCAGCCAAGCCTGTGTGGAACTTTAATTTTAAACAACAAAATGTCCCTAACATTTTTAAGGTTTTGTACCTCATTTCTAATAGGGTCTATATTCAGTCCTTTCAAATTAAACAATTTGTTTTGAAAATAGACTCTTTCCATATTGACAGAGTTAATAGTTTTTTCTCCTTTAAGGCAATGTTTGCTTTAATCTAAAGGTAATATAATCTGAAAAACAGTTTAAACTGGCAATGATAATATATTTTAGGATAGAAGTCAGTTCTATAACAAAGTACCTTCAGAATGAGTTATAGTGAAACCTAGCCTAGCAAAATGTGTTAAATACTAATTCCTTCAAAGTTTAGGAATGATGAAAATATCAAAATGGCTAAATACCATTCCTAGTTTTATCAATTACTCTGTTTCAGTATAGAAAACCATGTAAAATATGCCAGGTATTTTTACAAAATTAAAAAAAAAAATTCCCACAGCTCATTTTCACTGCTAATACTTACTCAAGTCTTGTCTCAGAACATTGGGATATCTACTTTTAGAAAAACTGCTGGAATCATAGGTTTTTTTTTTTTTAAATTTTTTTAAGTGAAAGCTGAAAAGAGTTTAGTTTTGGAAAGCCATCTGAAATACAAAACATACTTTTTACTGCTGGAAAAGGGTATTTTTCTCTTTCAATACTTTCTAGCTTTTTATCGGTTTTTGTTTTTTGTTTTTGTTTTTCCTCAGAATAAGATTCTTGTTATTTGAAATGGAGATTTTGGTTTTGTTTCCAGAGGGAAATGTTGAGGAACTTGGAGTAGTGCACATGCTCTAGAACAATGTTCACATTTCAGTAATGTCCTTTGTTTAAAACACGTTAGCTAATAAGGGGCTAGCTTCAGAAATAGAACCTCAGCTAAGGAATGTCAGTTTCATTATTTTAAATATGATTAGTCTGGATTCTAGAGTATTCTAAAGCAATGTTTCTCAAACTTTGGTTCCCAACTCATGAGTGTATTGTGGAATCAAGCTTAATGAACTGTAATCATTTTTTTAAATGAAATTGGATAAGGAAAATGTCCGAATGCTTTGCTCATGGGTGAGATAAGCAGTGGTTAAACATCTTTTTTAGTTATCCATGTAATGCACACATAGGTATATTTCAGTACCAGGTCATGATGTAAACTGAATTTTTTTACTGTGGTTAATTCAAAAATTTTGGAAAGCCGCTGTTTTAGAGGGAGGTTTCTTTGTTAAATAGAAATGTCATTTTGCCTATAGAAGTCATTAAGTGAGGTAACTTCTACCTGTTGAAGTTTAAAATTTATATCGAGGGAGAGTAAGGACTTCATCCCACGCTGTCGTCCTCAGCTTTGTTATTTTAGAACTGCATTTGCCAAGTCATCTGTAGGTAATTGCAGTAGGGAAGATGGTCAAACATATGAACCAATTCATAGTAAAAATGATTTATAAACCTAAATTTTACTTGTAAGAGAAATACCTGGCAAGATTCATGATAACAGTATGAGTCTCTTAATGGTGATTTCATAATGAGGACAGTATCAGAAGAAATCTTGTTCAGTATTCATAAGGAATATTTTCATGAGAGTAGGATGACCATATAAGTACTTCTGTCCAAATCATTGCCTCTAAAGGATCAATATTCTCTACCTTTCTTTGAACAGTAGAGACCTTATACTATAAGCTGTTACCACACAATTTTCTCTATTTAGAATCCATGTGAAACACTTTAAAAAAATCAAACAGCAATTACTTTATGTATCACTACAGAGTTGAGTAAATTACTGGATTTTCCTTTTTTCGAATGGAGGGGAGAAAAATCTTTGCTTCTATTGGTCAGAAGAAACACTAATCTTTTCAGGATTATTATTTATTAGCTCTGTCCTCAAGTGAATTATTCATTATTTTTCCTAGTTTTAGTTTGGTTATTTTTTTTTTCTTGATTTAGTTTGACCTTTTTCTTGATCTTGTCCCCAAATAATGATACCTTAAGCCCACTCCTAACTCAGTGATTACTATCACCTATGTAAATAGTGTTACACATCTGTGGTATGACGTTTTCACATGAAATCATCTCTGTGGATAAGCTTCTTTTAGAGATGGTTAAAAATAAGTCCTGTGTGGCATAACTAAAGTTATGTCAGGATAACTTTTATCCATTTATAACTGCATCAGGAGAAATAGTAATCAAGGAATGGGGTAAACTCATTTGAAGGAATTTTATTATTGTTCCTCATTGTGTTTCAAAAGGTTCTTTTTATCAGTGGGGAATGGGCGTATTCCTTAGGTTTATTGTTATTCCATTGCCCAATTACATGTTTCCTTTCTTTCACATGTAAACACATACACATACATACCCACAGATAGGGGAAGTTCTGAAAGTCATCTGCAGAAGGCTCAATATAATTTACTTTCGACAGGCTGAAAAATTGACCTGTACTTTTATTTGTTTGCTAACTTTATTTTATTTGTCAAAAAAGGGAAATTCTTATTCTCAATTTCAAATTTTAGATGTTCGAAATTATTGAATCTGTATCAAGTTACTCAGTTAAAACAATAGAACACTTATTATTCACTACTAATACTTGTAATCTTTATACTGATTTCTGAATAATTCATCAAAGGTGGCTTTCAAGATTTGATTTCTTTCCAGGAACCTAGATTTTACTAGTCACATGAAGGATTATTACAGAAGTTAAATAATTTTGTATTGCTTAGCAAATGTTAATGGTGTACTCCATGAATACTCTCCCATTCTACAAATAAATGATGTGTGATCTGAAATCTTGCAATGACCTAGAAGTATGCACTGCTACTGGGAACTACATGAATACAGTCCAGTGTAACCTGCTCTGATCATACACTTATTTTGTTGCATTTATTCATGACTATTGTGTAAAATGGGGAGGACAACAAAACTTACACTAGATTGCAAACTCCAAAGTTTCAGTTTCATTTTCCTTTGAAAAACTATTTTTATATGTGCAAGCAACTGAAAATTTTGGTAAGATTGCTTGAAGTTCTTACACTATACATTACAATTATATCATAAAATACAGTACTGGTATTTTTTATTTTTTTATAAGTAGTTTTTAATGGGCTGGATTTTTTTGTGTCAATCGCATGATTACTGATGCATAAAATCCTTTCAGAAAAACACGCCTACTATGTCATAAAATCTCAGCTCTTTATTGTAACCATCTTTATCAATAAGAAATTAGCTTTTAATACTGAAATGTCTAAAATAGCCTGATAAAAATAATATTTAAATGAATAAAAAAGTAGTGATAAATCATGCCAAAAAGAATAATTAAAGAAGAACCTTTCACTTTATACTCATTTCTTTTCTTTTTTTAGTATGTACCAACATAATGCAAAATAGTCTAGTCTGTTATTCACATATTTAAAAACATCCTTAGACTATCACAAGTTTGATCAAATTCTTAAAGCATTTGTTATAAAAATATATGTACTATATTTGCAGGATAGTCAAAAGTAGGCATATCAAATAAAGATGCTGAATTACAATTTTCATTATAAATTATCAGTTTAGCCAAGAGAAGCTCACCATTAGAACTCT